GCAGAGGAAAAAAATAGATGGCGAGAGCTGGTTTTCCAATGCAATGGTGCCCCAACGGTTGCCCCAACCCCGGGATAGAAGAAGAAGAAGAAGACCTTACTAATGTACATGATACCTTTTGATCCCTCGTGTGTAATTTGTTGAAGGGCCTAGGGTTATGGGTGCCAAATATCAGCCCACTCCAGAAAGAAAAAAATGTTTGAAATGCTTTCTCCCCCTCAATCACACCCCTAAAATTCAGAGTCACCAAAATGTGTGACTCTTTGGCTGGTGTATGAATAATACTTTTTTTGTTTTTTTGCTGTTGTTAAAAATGTACCCAGCGAAGCATTCAGACTCAGTTTATGTGTATCAATCGCTCTAAGCATACAGATTAAGTGGGTCATACTGTTGTCTTTTGGGTTTTTTTCTTGATGGTCATACATGTGTCTTTCTGGGATTTTTATAAGTTTTTAAAGGGTAAATGGACAGTTTTGTTTTTCTTTTCCCTTGCAAGACTGTTGCCCTTTTACCTAACGATGTCCATGACGTTATTCGACATTTTGTTTTTCTACGACTACCGTTTTTGTGGGTTTTTTAAATATGGATTTTCACCATATTTGTATTTTTCTGCTACTCTAAAGTTTAACATGCGGGTGCTCTGGTGTGGTCTGCTTCTTCTTTCCTATCAAACATCTATCGTCCTTATCTCCCCTTCTTTTTTATATTTGTTACTCTCTTGTAATGCCTCTAATCTTCTGGCGCTCATATGACCTTATGCAGTTGCGAGCGCGGTAAAACCTCTACTAAAACAAACAAAAAGTTTAACATTTAATTTGTTTCAATCTGCAGGAGCTGAGGTGTCGGGAAGAGGAGCTCACAAAGGCAGAATTGCAACAAAAAATACAGGAAGACGCTTTGAAGAAGAGGGAGCAAGATCTGGCAGCTCGGGAAATTGAGCTGTTGGAAAGAGAATTAAACATTTTAATTTTACAGCAAGTTATGCACAAGCCTACTCCAAAGAAAAGAAAAAGCCGCAAAAGTAGATTAAAAGCTCTCAAATATGGCGGCAAGAAAATAAGTGAACCTTCTGGTGAGTTCATTTGCATGACTGCTCATCGTTGTTGTCCACATTATTTTAGTCCACTGTTAGTATTACGGCATATTTGTGTGTTTTCTTCGTTTGCAAGGGATTGCTGTTTCAAGTTATGTAATTAATGTAGATTAATGTAGTGCTGATGCCAACAAATCGAAACATTTCACAGAAATGGAGTGGATGGTTGGCGGGTGCTCTGGTGTGGTTGGCTTCTTCTTTCCTGTCAAACATCTATCGTCTTTATCTCCCCTCCTTCTGTTTTATGTTTGTTACTCCCTTGTAACACCTCTAATCTTCTGGCGCTCATATAACCTTATGCAGTTGAGAGTTCCGTAAAACCTCTACTAAAACAAACAGGCTATGTAATCAGTGTAACATACAGTACTGATGCCAACACATCAAAACATTTCACAGAACTGGAAATGAATATTTCCCGTATGTCTACACATTGTTTGAACACAATACACTTTTCTCCAGTAGATTAATTTTATGACTGGAGGATACAAGTACAAGACTCCAGCAAACGTCATGGGGAAAAATTTACTTTTTTGGAGTTTTTCACCCTGCCATAGAATCGTTATTTAATGTTTCACCTTTTTCTCGTATCTACAGATTTTCGACATAATATCACTGTCCAGAAGGAAGACTCTGCGATGTACGACAAGCGGAGTTATGGAGCGCCGACCAGCCCAGACAGTCCTCCGGCCACCCCGACCCACGCCCCTCCACCGCCGCGATTTAGGGCTATTGCATGTAAGTGGAGAATAGACTAGAGGGAGCGATTTTTTCCGATAAATCCAGATTTGTTAAAATGATCGAATATTGCACTAAATAATAATAATATGACGTATAAAAGTAATCTTGATTCAAGATGTTTCACACAATATGTCTTGTGGCAACGATGTGTTCACATCAAATGCCAGTTTTATTTTGACTTGTTTCCACCATCGATATTCAAATGTAGTTGGGTATTTTTTGTTTGATTATATACCTGAAACCTGAAAAATAGCATTGTAATTTAATTCGCAAATTTGTTTTTACAACAAAGTTACAAAACTATCTGTGATTTGAAAAATGTATAAATATATTTTAAAGGAAATACAGAGTTTGCTGTTCGATCAAGGTGTTGCTTGTGGCCAGCTGAGACTATACCCCCCCCCAGACCAGGGCAGTGCTACTGACTGAAGTTGTCTTTAGGTCATTCCCAAAGGGGGGATTTTAACATGTTCTTATGCACAGTAGAATTGTAAATGTGCTGATTTATCAATGTCATGCTCATACCGTGCCGGAACAACATAGGGGGAACTGCTGCTTTCTCTTTCCTCATCCTTACTGTCGTCATTTTCCTCTACTTCTTTTGTATGTTTGTCACCCTCTTGTGAACTGCTATTTCCGGGATGCCTTGATAGTCAAAGCAGACTTTGTGCTGTTAAGGCTAGAGAAGTAGGCAGAGTAAGTTTAATTCCCTGTTTGGACTTCTCTGTTGTCATCCACCCCTTGACGCTTATATGACCTTATGCAGTTGCGAGCTCGGTAAAACCTTACTAAAACAAAAATAACTGAGACTATGCACGTTGATATTTCAGATCCTCCTGTTGATGGCAGAAAAGGGAAGACTTGGGGCCCGAGCTCTGTACAAAAGGACAGACATCAGAGGTCTTCCATCATCTTCGCTGACGGACGCTGGTCCAAGAGTGCCCCGAATCTGGAGAAGTCTCTACGCCAACTGGGTGGTGGGCATTCCAACATGGGCGCTGTCAGCCATCTATGTGAGTTCGGTCAAGTCTAATGCGCTATTTTTAAATGTATGGGTAGTTGGCGGGTGCTCTGGTGTGGTTTGCTGCTTCGGTCCTATCAAACAAATATCGTCTTTATCTCTCCTCCTTCTTTTTTTGTGTTTGTTATTGTCTTGTAACACCTCTAATCTTCGGCACTTATATGACCTAATTGTGTTGCAAGTGCTGTAAAACGCTTACTAAAACAAATGTTTAAATGTTGGATGTTTATTCATTTCGGGTCATATGTTCTTGTTGTTATCGATCCAGATTGTTGTTGTTATCAATCCAGATGTGTTCTTGTTAAGACTTATTATTGTGGGTGGTTGGCGGGTTTCTAGTGTTGTTTGCTCCTTCTTTCCTCTCAAACGAGTATCATCCTAATCTCCCCTCCTTCTTTTTTGTGTATGTTACTCTCTTGTAACACTTATTCTGCAGCACTCATACGACCTTATTGTGCTGAAAGTGCCGTAAAACTCTTACTAAAACTAAAATCTCTGATAACACCTCTAGTTTTCAACATTCATATATGACTTTTTTATGTTGCTAGGGCTGTATAACTTTTTATTGAAGAAGAAACACAAGACTTGTTATTGTATATGTTTACATCTCCTTTGAGACACCTAAGATTACGTAAGAGAGGAGCAGCTTAGCCAGTCTGTCAGGGCCCGCCCAGGATGTCTGAAATACACCCCAGCAGGCAGGGGGAAGTTCATAGAGTACTCAAATTAGATATCTCCACCCACCTACCACCCTTGTCCTCCATGCGGAAGTGAGATTCATGTCTTGTATGATTAGGGCAGAAGGGCCATGCGTCTGACAACAGACATTTCTGTTTAACCTTTATATGATCATTTTGTCCATTGTTGCTGACTGGAAACTACCAGGAGTGGGTGGTTGGCGGGTGCTCTGATGTGGTTTGCTTCTTCTTTCCTATCATTGATCTATTGTCCTTATCTCCCCTTCTTTTTTATGTTTGTTACTCTCTTGTAACACCTCTAATCTTCTGGCGCTCATTTGACCTTATGCAGTTGCGAGTGCCGTAAAACCTCTAAAACTACCAGGAGTTGAAGGTCCTGAATATGACAGAAATATCTTGGGAATTCTTTGTACCAAAACTGAAGAAGAGGGTTCTGTACAATAGTTCATTGTCTGTCTAGGCTGTATGTAACTATTGTTGCTTTGTAAAATCTTTATTTTTCCATTTTGTCACTAACAATTTTCCTTCCCTTTGTGTAGATGACTTGGAGGACACCCTCCCAGGTGACATAGATGACATTTCTGCCAAATCTCGAAGCATTCCACACACACCCGCGGCCTCTCCGTCAAGCCCGTTTGTGAAAGGCAAGAAGACGGACAGTTCTCTGTACCACATGTCCACTATACTGGCGGCTGTGGCCATGGGCTTTGACATCGGCATCTCCAACACCCGAGCTATCCACCCCAACCTGCACTCCCCGGGGAATGAGGAAGAGCGGGGTATGAAGAAGAGAGACTCGTACATTAACAACCGGCGAGACGCGTATCTCGCGGCCGTCAGGGATGCGTTTATAGAGCCCGAGGGAGACTTCAGGTCCTATCCGGCGCCCCCTGCTGGCTACTGGCACACCTACCACGGCGTGCAGGCCCGACAGAGGCCCAGCTTAAACGTGGACCTTGACTCTTCCTCTCCAGCATTTATAGACAATGAGTTTGGTGCTCAGTTGGCCGGTGCCGGCTACAACAACTACAATGCTCGCACAACTTCGCACCGCTCCTCCTACGCGGACAGCGAAGCCTCGGGTGTGTCCAGCACGACCCCGACAACTGAACGAACTGTGATCTATAATCGTCAACTTTCCTCTGAGAGCAACCTGGATGGCCCGGCAAAGCCTCCGGCAGCGACAGAGAGCGGTGCTAGCAAGCCACAGAGACGGTCCGTCACCTTTGAGGATGACTTTAACCCACCGGACTACAGCAAAACAAACAGCAGCAACATGTACAACACTCATCGGAGGACGCCTTCAAATACCTCAAACTCTTCCACAAGCTTCGATCAACAAGACTCACGGTACGCCTTCAGCACAGACTACGTGCGTTCCCCTCCTCTTGAATTCAACTCCTCATCAGCAACATCATCTCAACAGCAACAACCGGTGCCCCCCCGCAGACGACCCGGCTCAGAGCCCGCTCAGAGACCCACCACGCTGGACATTGGCGGAGGCTCAGCGCGGGCCTCTCCCATACAACTCAAGTACCCGTCTTCCCCGGGCCACGGACTCAGCAGAGACCCCTCTCGGCCCCGGGGCTCCATGGGTGGTGAAGACCAAACCCCTTACTACTCAAGCCGGTCCCATCTGTCCCCGGGGAATACGCCCCCTCATATAGCCCATCAGAAAACTTTATTGGACATCGACGTGGAAGGGCAGAATCAGGATGCAACTCGACCTTTGGTGCACCATGACTCGGATTCCAAGTTCTCTTTTTCAGAATTAGAAAAGGAATTTCTTAGCTAAATTCAATGTGGGTGGTATTCTAATTTTTGGTTCCAAATCTAGCCCAGGCTCAGAATCTTCATTACAGTAAGTATTCAAGAGAAATTGATTGAGTTTTAATGGTAGATGCAGTCGAAATGATGTGCTTCTCTTTTTTGTAAACGTGAGCCTACCTTAGTTAGAGACTTTTTGGGGGTTTTTTTGCATGAAGGTCAGGGCGGGGGTTATTGCAAACAAACCCATCTTTTCTTGTAGGGACTCTTATTTTAAAGCACTTTGTGATGTAATGTTTTGGTAAATTTTCCTTCTTGCACCAGTGGCATTACAGTGGCCAGGTTGGAGGGTTTTAGAAAAAACACTTTGAACTTTAGCACTGGAAGAGCTGTGTAACTTCCCCTGTCTTCAAAAGATCACTACAATCCACAAAGTTGTTTTCACTAGCTATATTGTCTCAACCTGAAAAGTTGTGCTGTTTCATGGGTTTGGTTGTTTTTTTTTAACTTTTATTTATATCAACATATTTGTAATATTATAAATGTGTGCCATTCTCGGAGGGGTTTATCGCTTATGTCTGGACATTCAGAATCTGTACATCTTGATATGCACCAGGAGAATGTGGGGGAAAGAAGCTGGTTTTTTGGTGGATGTGAGTAACTGCCTGTTGTGGTTTCTGAGTTCCGCTCGCGTGAGATTGAAGAAGAGTATGTTAGTGACAAGTTTCGACCCTGTATCAAAGTGGCTCCCAATATTTCAGTATTATCCCGGTCAAGTAAAGTACACATATATATGATATGTATGAACGGAGGAAATTTTAATGTAAATAGAAACCCCAGTCCTAACACCAGAAAAGAGTGTTTGAAAAACCAGTACGTGTACTCCGGATGTTGGAAGAGTTCAAAATTATTGGGTCATGGTTCAAAATGGAGGTCACAAACAAAACTGCTTTCATTCGTCTTCTACTTTCATGCTCTCAGTTGTCGTCATGAGATAGTGTGAAGAGGTGAAGGAGTTCTTTTAACAGCATCTCATCATCTTCGCTTCGGGAAACAAACATTGTGAGCAAGGGTTGTGGCTGGGAGGTCAGTATATGAGTGATGCGATGCCATCTAGGGTTGTTTCAATTTTTTATCTACTTCTTTTTCATTCAGAATGAAAAAAAAATACTTTCGTCTCCGGTGCTTTCGTCAGTAGACCTGATTATTATGCACCTTCCACTTTCGAGTAGAAGTAGAAAAATGTGAATGGACGGAAGAATTTGGTGCAAATAAGTTAAGTTGGTTGTTTTTAAAAATTTAAATCTTAAGGTAGGGTTGGTGATGTGTTCATTTTCTATGGGATGATTTACGTATGTTGGCTGAAAAAAAATATTGAAGTCGCTACTGCTGTGAAAATATTGCAAGGATATTTTTATTCGATACAGCAAAAAATATATGTAAAATGATAAATTTTTACTTGACATATGTGAACCATATCACTTTCTGCTATGATTCCTCCCATAGCAAATCATTATTGTGTGCTATGCTATAATTTATTTTTATCTTGTACGAGTCATTGGACCCAGCCAAAGAGTTGGTTATATTGCAATTAATAATATGTCGATACTGCATGATTGGATAAAAGAAACGTGAGGACAGCTGTCTTGAAGGGGTTTCTTTCTTTCTTTCTTTCTTTCTTTCTTTTTTTCTTCTGTCCCTTTTCCTTTTTCCCCCCCTCTTTCCCATATTCCCTTTCAGTTCCCTCCTTTTTTTTCTTACCCTTATTTTTTTTATTATTGCTCTTCGGTTGTTGGAGAAGAAACAGCTTGTGTCAGTTACCTCTCCAGTTGTATTATTGTAATTATTTTTATTATCTTCACGAGTATCATCATCGTCATCATTTGAAACGTCATTGCCCCTTAAGTATGTGTCTCTAAACACTCAGCATTCTTTGGCATCCATGTTTGAATCGTATTCCGTTGTCTACGTTTATCTGGACAACAATAAGTGAAAACGAAATGAGTTTTTTTTTTTTTTCACACTGATATTATAGAGAATTGGTGAAATTTGTACAAAGTAGATGGGTATCTACAAGGAAAATCAAGGGGGAGAAGATGGTATGATTTTTTTTCCCCCCCTTTAAAATCAAAAGTGACGAATTCTCCACAAGTTCCAGGTACTCTTCATTCCGTATCTTGGAGAGGAAACATTATTGGTTTCTAGTTCTCCCTCGCACTGAATTAAAAAGTGCTAACGTTCTGGTTGTCTAGTATGCCAAATATTGCTTTGTGCGTTTTGCGATCCTCCTACCTAATCAGAAGAGGTTATATAATTTTTTCTTACACCTTGCAATTTCAAATCATAATATATCACTTTTCCATGGAACTGAGGGTTCGTTGGAGCTTGAATTTTTACAGTTACACCTTCTTACCTTCTCGCACATGCATGTAAAGACACACAAACGGACACATGCTGTGCGCACACATTTATAGAGACATTCACATAGAGTACACACACACACACACACACACACACACACACACACACACACACACACACACACACACACACACACACACACACACACACACACTCACATAGAAACAGACATACACTCGCCACACATAGAGGTCCCGTAGACTCACACGCTCAAACAGAACATTCATAACACACACACACACACACACACACACACACACACACTCACACTCACACACACACACAAATGCTCGCAGGCGGATTAGTTCATGATTACACTTAAAAGAAACGGCAAGTAATCACAATTGTACATAATGATTTCTAACCACTCATGTATATCTTCTACGCTGTACAGAACACTTGGAAACAAATCATGCCATAATGAGCTCTCAACTACTTTAATGTCATTGCATTTTTTGAAAAGTTCTTTTTATTCTTATCGTTTTTTGTTTGTTTGGTTTGTTTTTTTATTTTATGTGTGTGTTTACCCTCTGTATGGTTTGTTGATCTGTTTGACTGTGTTTTATTTGTGGTCTGCCTTGAGCGGGGGAGAGGTGTTTTTTGGTTAAAATGAGCGTGGGCTCACATTAGCCGTACAAGTGGAGAAAGACGCGCAATCTTGTCGCAGATTATAATTAGTACAAGTTTCAATTTCCGCTGAATCTTTAGGAAATATTCAAGTTTGACAGTATTAGCTCATTAGTATCATGATCCCCCCTTATTCATCTGTCCAGTGTAACCCCTCTTTGATCCTGGACTGTATTTCCTCTATATTAGTTTGCCTTCTCCTCATAGAGCAAAAGTGGGTGGTTGGTGGGTGCTCTAGTGTAGAGGTTTGCTCCTTCTTTCCCTATCTAACATCCTTCGTCCTTATTTCTCCACCGTCTTTTAAAAAGTTGCGAGCGCCGTAAAACCCTCTACTATATAAAAAAAACCCAACGTATTTTACTCTGTAGTAACAGCTCTAACCTTTGGCACTTTTATGACCTGATTGTGTTACAAGTGCTGTAAAAGTCTAACAAAAACTTTTTTAAAACTTTATAACAAAGGAAGAATGAAAAAATTGTTTTTTGTTAACATGACTTTTCCCCTCAGCTGGCTGTTAGTCCGTGTAGTTGGTGTTAGTTTGTACAGAACGGATCAGACAAGGGAAATGTGGACTCTTGCCCCCTACCTACTAGATTAGCAGCTTTTTCTGTTTGTGAAATTGGTGACGATATATAGGGCAGTATATATATGAGAGCTCGTCACTTTCCGACATAACGCGTTTGCATGACCTACCTTTGTTGTTTGTACCAGCTTCTTGTTTGTTCATGGCGGAACAGTTGCTTGTCTTTATAGTCATCTGTGGTGTTTCATTTTTTTATTTTGTCCCATGGTTATATTAAGTACGTCTTTGCTTTGTTCCCATCATTGCTATATTGGTATTTAACTCGTGGGGGTGGGAGGGAGATGTTAATCCTTTGAGCCCTTGTTCCCCCAAGCCTTACAGGATTCATGTACCTCATTTGGTGAAGCGTTGGGTGTAGTGTATATGCTGAGGCGTTCAATCGGTGTGTGCTGATTGGTAAAAGGAGAGTTCGTTCGGGTCCGTGTGTTTGAAATAGCAGTGTCGTAGACTGCCATATATTATAAATAGATCTTACGTCTTGTTTTCAAGACCTTATAGTTTTATGTCGCGGGGTATCGTAACCTTCTGAGGGTGTGTAATTGGACTATATATTCCTTATATTATGCTTGTAAGTTTACTCTAGTTGCGCTACTTTTTTTTTATGGAGATCAAATTAAGAAAGGAGTAAATCTTAACTCAGCCTCAAATCACTTGGTAATCCACTCTCTTCTCCAAATGTTATCTCGTAAGACTTCCACTCAGAAGGAAGTTTTGTTTAATTTCTTTCATTGTCTCCTTGATGGAAACCTTGATCAAATCCAGGTTTATACCAGATGAGGAAGTGATCCTGTGTTTGATGGTGAAGATGGCTGGATCAGTTTGGTATTGTGTAATTCCCCGTCGTCTCATCATGAGTTTTGGCTTGGCTCCACCAGCGAACTTGTCTGATGGCCATTCAACTTGTCTGATCTGATGGCCATTCAACTTGTCTGATCTGATGGCCATTCAACTTGTCTGATCTGATGGCCATTCAACTTGTCTGATCTGATGGCCATTCAACTTGTCTGATCTGATGGCCATTCAGCTGTTGCTCCATCTACCAGAAGTCAAAGTTTTTACCTGAGTAATTCCCGTATTTCTCTTCTAGTAAAATCTAGACTTAAGTGTTTGAGCCATCTTGACTTTTGCTCCTAGTTGTGCAAGTATTTATTGGACTTTTTCAAGATCTTAAAGGCATCCAAGGAGGTTGATAAACATATTTTTTTTAAAGCTCAGTCTTAATAAAGTTGTTTCTTTTTTGTGAATAATTGTGCAAGTGCGATGGCTAGAGCGTAAGATATGTTGAGTTTTATTTTCCTTTAAAATACATCTATATATATATATAGTATTGTTGGCATAGGAATATTGCATTCTATTTGTCAAGATGTTATTATAGAGCTTCAAATTTTTATCGACATGTGCTGCGCGTACAAATGATAGTAGCAACAGCAGTTTTAGCAAGACGAAGGGAACTTTCTTTGGTTACAAAGTACGTTGCTGTTTTTCCCATACTGCCTGGGACAGTTTTATTGTTTTTGTGTGTCTTCTCGGCTCTGCAATGTTTCTTCTTACATTTTTGTGAGTGTGTCCTTGTGTACATTGTGAGTGTGTCCTTGTGTACATTGTGAGTGTGCATGAGATGAGAAAAGAGGCTAGCTATGCACCCAGTCCGCTGTGATGAGTTTAAATTATCAGTGCAAGAACCTCTTATTTTTGTTGTTGTTGTGAACACATTCACTCTTCTGTCTGTAAATGGAACTTCCATTAAAGTTCTGAACATGTTCATATATGTACTTGCGTGTACCATCGGTGAGTCACATATTTTTTGGTGTGTATATAGTAACCATGGGAGTACTTGTATATTTTTTCAGCTGAAAGCTTGTCTATGGAAATTTCTGGAAAAGCGTGTGCCTGACTGTTTCTATCTTGGTGGTTCAACGCGAGGCACTGGGCAGTATGCCAGAGCGTCACTTTGAGCCGCTGTCTGTTGTTTCAGTGATTGTAACGACAGCAAGACTTTGCTCCCACAGTTCCTCACTGTCGGATTGTTTATGTTGGTCTTTCACAAAACAGGGGTAATGCCAGTACAAAAAAAAAATGATAAGATGATATTCATAACCTTGAGGTAGTTGTATTTAGCTGTTCCATTAGAATTTGAGAATGGTTTTTGTCATTGTTTGATTCCGGATAAAAGAAAAAGTACAAATGATGTAGTTTCGCTTAATTTTGAACTATCGGTGGTGCTCTTGATAGTTTGGGATCTGAAGAAATTTTTCCAGAAAAGATAGTTCAGTATTGTACATACTTCAAGTGTGATGTATTTACTCATTGTAAAGGGTTTCTTTCTTTCTTTCTTTTTTTCCCCCCCACTCCTGATTGTACAGTGTAAATAAGGCATACGCAAAAATGCGCACACTCTTATTTGCATGCCGTCATCGGTCACTGCATCAAATGGTTTTTTTTTAAAATGATGATCAAAAACTTTGACAGGCCTGTGTGTGGGGGCTGTGAGGAGGCGCTGGCTTCTCACTCAAAGCTCCAGTCTTAGGCCAACGATTATGATCAAAATGTATACACTCCTCCTTTCTCACCGCTTACCAAAAATTTATAAATGATGAAAAGTAGAGAAAATCATTGCCCGTGGAAGTATGTGTGTGGTGTATGTGTGGGGCCGTTGGGTGGTAGAGTAGTTCATCTTTCTGGAAGTTTTCATTTGGTCGCTTTTACGCACAAGGGGGCTATCCTGAAAATGCTGTTTTTAGAAAATCTAAGGTCAAGTTTTTGGACCCTTATTCACTTTCTTTAAAAGACAAGAAGAGTTTTCTCTATAACCAAACAAATATACACACCGATGAAACCAAACTTCTCCTGTAGGTAGGGCCATGCCCACTTTTGGTGTAGGGCAGTGCCCACTGTTCTTGTGGGTCAAGATTTCTGGAAATCCCCGAAACCTGGGTTAGCCCACTTGTCCTTGAAAGCGACCAGTTCTCTTGTGGGCCAGCTGTTCACATGCAGTAAGCACAACATTTTGAAAACAATTTTTTGGGGGGTTTTTTGGTTGCTGTTTCATAATCTGTTTAATTTATTTTCGTGTGCTCGAGAAATATTTTGTCAGAATTCAAATTCTAAATGTTTTTTAAAAAAGTAAGAAAAGATATGTGTGAGGCATCGTGGTGAAATCAGGCGCTCGTCAAAATAATTTCCATCCAGTTTGGCAATTTTTACTGAATTATTGTTTTTTCGTTCAATGCCCTTTTTAATGAAAAGCACATAGTATATAAATTGTCAGTTTTTAAGGACTCGCAAGCTTTTGAAGTTACTAAACTTTGGTGGCCATTTTCCCGCTAATTTTATTCTGAAACCAATTGACCCCCACCTCCTTCGATGGCAAATATCTCGACTTGTATTCAAGTTACTTGATGGTTTTTTTCATCGAAAGCAAGGCAAATAAGCAAGCTTTAAGATAATACCAATGACCCCATTTGCCTAAAAATTGACGAACGCCTGATTCCACCTCATCATAACACATATAATGTATAAACTATTGGTAAAAGAGTAGAACAGTTGTTTTTTTTTCTCTCTCTCTCTCTCTCTCTCTCTCTCTCTCTCTCTCTCTCTCTCTCTCTCCTGAAAAAATGTAGCATTTGTGCTGACAACATTTGAACAGCTTCCCAGCCATTTGCTGTGTTTTCCCAGAGCCTCAGTTCTATGTACGTGTACCTCACTTTGGTGTCAAGTGTAGATTGTTCAGATCTTTTCACAGCTTTGTTTTTGAATTTCCTGAAGCACCTTATCTTTGTACACACAGAATGTGTACATCTGACGAAAGCAATATGGGCAAAACTGCCGCCTCCAGGCATTATGTAGAGTGACGTGTCTGAAAACGTAGAGGGATTTTGTTGTTGTTGATTGATTGGTTAGTAACGCTTGTGTTGCCCACACCCTTCTCTTGTCAAAGGCTGGAGGACGTAATATGTCCTATGTAGATATTAAGATCTACATTTGAAACAGTCATTTTCAATGTAGGTGATCAAAATCGTCAAGTTACCATGTTGTTAGAGCAGGCTCTTCAATCCGTAAATAGAAAGTGACCAAAAGCGGCTATTCTAGAGAAGGATGCCGCGTTGTTCAGTAAGAAACTTGTGAGTTTTCAGTAATTGCATTTCCCTTTGATAAAAGTTTTATGCTTTTCAAAAAAACATTTTTCCCTTTTCCGGTATCTTTCCTACTTAATACTAGTTGATCCTATTTTGTTGAATTTTGTGAAAGGTGTGAATATAAAAGAAATT